TCCATAGTTCCATTTATTTGGTATCGCCCTGTGAGCCATTCGGCTCTTGAATCGGATGCAACCGCAACAAACAAAAAACAAAAACATGAACAAGAAAATATTTAAAGTGATTATGTGACTGTGCAAACAGAAATCCAGGAAAAAAAACATCAAAATATTCCTGAAATAGCACCGTACACCAACGCTGTGTGCAAAAATCCCAGTGGGATGCAAGTCAAACAACAACAACAACAACCACAAGACAACTAAGATTTAGGCCATCAGTCTAACTCCGTACTACAATAAACAAAAACATGGCCAAAACCAAAGAAACGTTTTCGAAATCACCAAAATAAAAGCCATAAATGCAATGTAACAGTGATCATAGGGACTGTGACCGAATTTTTAACAATAAACTACATAAATTAATTATAACACCAAACCCTAGAGCCATATATTAGGCCACTGAATAGCAGTGGCAGCTAGGGGTGTACAACTCCTCCACTGCGGGTGTGATCCGGAGAACCCCTCGAGACAATAATGTTAGCCTACTCATCCACACCATTTATACTTCTGGGTGCTGAAGAAACGTGCCTTTACGTGTGAATGTCTTACACACATAGGAGAGGAGTGCATGGCTTACTATTTTCTCGTGGCTTTTACTTAAGCAATGTGTTCCTACCTCCTTGAGTGGAGGTGATATTACATTGCAAATAAATACGGTTGACGGATTACACTTGCATACCGATGTAAAATGAGTGAATATTGATTCTGAATCAGTTCTGTTGAGATGAGAGAGATTTCAATTCAAGTTGACATTCCTGTGATACTGCGAGCCAAGTTTGCATTGGGTTGGGGCGGTAGTGTGGTGGTTAGCGCGCTGGGCTACGAACCCCGGCGACCCGAGTTCGATTCCCGCTCACGGACAACTCCAGTGACGACTATCTGAACCGGTCGCTAGGTCTACTCGGCCTCAAATGCGTACCCGGTGCTGTGCTTAAACATCCCCACTTCGGAGACAAAGGCGGCCGGGCGTGGTGCTGGCCAACCACCCCAGGCGTGCCGTGCCGGCCTTCATATGTGCTCGCTAATAGCACTTGTCCCAACGGTCTGTTAAGGCTATACGGGATATCTTTGCCTTTGTATGTCCAGCCTTACGTACAATACTTTTACAAAGCATCAATCATGGAAGTTCGCCCCAAATTAAATCAACATTCCGCACGGATGGCCGTTTTTCAGCCGGACAGCACAAAAAAAAATGTAGGGGCCGGTCTTGATCGCCTGTTGTCATAATCGCTCGCAATTGCCGTCCAAATGGCTAACAGCTGCCCGCCCGCTATACGTCGCAAGAAGCGGCCAACAACCCTTCCCCCCATAATAGACCTCCCCCCTCCACCCAACTAAAACATGGCACCCAGTACGATAGCCAACCGCGGGTAGCTAAGCACCCGTCGGAATCCCATCAACAACAAAGCTACCCAAGGCGAGGGCCCGATATGAACAACTGTCGCAGTGTTACGTGAATCCGAGTGAGAGAGAGAGAAGGGGGGGGGGGGTTACGTGAATCCAAGTGAGAGAGAGAGGATGGTGAGGTGGGTGGGGGGTGCCGCTAACGTGTCCCAGTGGTACTCTGTGAGCGACAGTCACCGGCGCCTTGGCTCCAACCTAGGCACGGTTTCCCCCGAAAGTGTCGGGGAAAATAAACCCACCCACGCACATTGAAAGAGCCGACTCGGTTTTGTGCGCTCTTGGATGTTTGTTATTTGGTGTAGTTTTATTCATTTTATTTACGTCCTCCGAGCTAAGCAAAGGTTAACTCGAAGGTGTCGATTGCGCAAGGAATTATGACGCGTAATCGGTGCCAATGGGGGTCTCAGACGATCTTTTTTCAATCACTCTGCAATATATTGCGGTCAGCCATTGATATGTATTAATAATGCCCACATATTACAAAGTGTCATTGACAAAATGTACAAATTCATGATTGGGTGTATGGAACAAAAAATAGGACGAGATGATATTACGTATTTGGTTCTTTCGGTAAAGTCACGTAGATAGAAAATAAATTAAGTGAATAAAAAACAAAAAAACACTAATATAGACTTGATCCTGGTTCTTAATCGGAGTGAATGTACTGGCAGTCTATAATGTAGACTGTAGCAATGGTTATTAAGCTGGGTGAATGTACTGGCAGTCTATAATGTAAACTGTAGCCTGGTTTTTAACCTTAGTGAGTGGACTGGCAGTCTATAATGTAGACTGTAGCCTGTTTTTAAGCTTGGTGAGCGTATTGGCAATCTATAATGCAGACTGTAGCAATGGTTATTAAACTGAGTGAGTGTACTGGCAGTCTATTATGTAGACTGTAGCATGGTTCTAAACCTGAGTGAGCGTACTGGCAGTCTATAATGTAGACTGTAGCCTGGTCTTTAACCTGAGTGAGTGTACTGGCAGTCTATAATGTAGACTTATTCTTGTTTTTTTCGGTAATAAAAATAAAATAAAAATGTAAAAAAAATTTAAACCAAAAACCACGACGTTTCGATCACAACACAAGCAATCGTCTTCAGGAGGAAAGAGGGGGAAGGTCACCGAAGGCAACCGTTTTTAAAGGTTAAAAAAATGGGGTGGCATAAGAATGGGCGGGGCATATGTGCCCTGGGGTCAGAGAGCACCAATGTGAAGCACGGAACATTTTTTATTATTTTTATTCACTTTTTTTTTGTGACTTTACTGAAAGAACAAAAGAATGTGAATTTCTGCAGTCACAAAAGTTTTAAGTCAGGACGAGATGAATGCCACCTCTTCCAAGACGTCTGGCCAGTGTGGAAGAGGAGGCCAAATTCCCTCTTAAGAAGCCTCTCCAGAGCTCCCTCTGGTGGGGAGGCCCTTCCGTCAACGCTTGTGTAAGCGAGCAATTTCAGGTTCTGCACCTTTTACTTTGTGTTGTCGTAATAAATGCCACCGTCCTTTTATTGAAAATGTTCAGCATCCTCCCTCGCTACCGTCCAACTCTCAACCCCTGCTCAACCACCCGACCATCCCATCCAGCACGCTGGCCAGCTACCCCAACCCGAGTCCGTCTCGGCGCAGTTCAGCGCAAACCCCGCCGACCCCCAGCTCTGCCCGTGAGCGAAACAAGGAAGCCCCCTAAGCAGGGTGGGAACGCGTACGCGATGCCAGCTTCCCGTCTGTGCCATCGAGGGGCCCATTCGCTCCGCTCAAGCTGCACGGCACACTCACAAAGGCACCGTCACCATAACAGACACAAGTGCCCTCTGGGGAATGAACCCGCTCCCCTCCGTCGCAGCTCTCATGGGAAACGCGGCGGAGGCTGCTCGCTTTGGACGGAGCCAGTGGGGGAAGGCGGTGCTCACGGGGGGAGGACAGGAGGGAGCGGGGTGGAGAGAGCACGGGCAGACCAGAGAACGAAGCGGCGGTGGGATGTGTGCGTGAGTGGTTTTTTTTCTTCTGAAATGACAATTTATGGGGGGGGGGAGAGGGATGGAGGGCGAGAGGTTAAGGTCGGGTGGGCTGCCGCGGAGCCACGCCCCAAGCCTCGCACACCCTCAGCCCACGAGGCTTCTTCTTCTCGGTCCCCAAGTGCGCAAAGTCGCGGGGAGTTACGGGCGGTTCATTAAGATGCCCCTGGGAGAGGCTGCCGTGAAAACGAGCCTCCTTTCACACGGCAGCGGCCGTGGGTTCTGAGCCCTTTGTGCGATTATCAATCCTTTTTTGACAAAAGTGGCGGAGGAGGCCTTTCAGCCGAGCGGCTTTTTGCAATCGAATTGCGTGTGAGAAAGGACAGTGAGAGGTCGACAAATGCCCGTGTGCGTGCGAGTGAGCGCGTGTGTGTGCCGCGAAATGCTGGTGGCGAGGTCAACGCATAGCGCCACAAGTCCAAGTGGCCCAGCTCCATCATTTGAAAGCCAGGAAAATCAGTTTTAATTAAGATTTACTGCGTCAGAGTTCACGGCTTGTGTTGTACAACTCTCCGATGTGTTTTCGGAACGTGCCGCGTGTCGTTCAGCACGACGTCTCACGTGTCACTCCATGTGCTGCTGGGAGCTTCAAAAGGAATTGAGCCGAGCTCCTGTGGAAGCTCCCCCGTACAAAACGTTGGACATCGTGCCGCGAGCAACATGCAATTTTTGTGATATATCGCATTTGGTTTCTGTGCCATTTGTACACTGCATGGTCCATCCTCGTAAACGTAGCAAAGTGACATTCACATATAATTCACAACAAAAATCTGCATACTTCAAAAACGCGTCTACTATGTTTGCGATGCGATGCATGCGTCGCGATTCTCAAGAATCAACATTAATTCATTGTTACATTTCTCCTGGAGAGTCTCACCACAGAATCTCCCAAACACGCGCCCCAACTTATATTTGACCTCAGAGCTGTCCTTCTTACAAACATTGGCAAAGGCTAGCCTGCGAATATCTCATCTGATTATGTATTCATTGAATTTCCTGCATGTTATTCCCCCGTTGAGCCATAGCAGGTGAGGCGATACGTTTGAGAAATGTCCATTTAAGTGTGATGGGTTTTCTGTGCAGTCATTGGTGACCTGGCTGTAACCAATAGTTCATTAGACCTAAGAACTCAGTTTAATCCCAACAGGGATCATGGGAGTGGAATCCCAGCATCTCATCAGTGCGTGTTGTATGTATGTTGAAATTCTTTCGCACCATACGTAGCCAACCGTGATAATCGTAGGTGCGGGGGAAGGCCATTATCCTACTGAGCTCCCTTACATGCGAGTCTCAACGCAAAACAACGATATCACTGTAATCATCGTTATAAGCTCCAGATCACCGACAAAATAAGGATATTTTGTTGTTGAGACACGTTGCACCGTACAGCTCTACGATGTGTTTCTTTTGCGATAGACCACGTGCAGTCCGATAGACCACGTGCCGTCCAGAATGTTTTGTCCAATGTACGGAGTGCAGCGTCGGACATCACGCCAAACGACGCCGCGGTACAACCGGAAAACACGTCGGGCCTCTGACCTGCGGATCGGAGAGCCGGCTGACGTCGGGGTAGAGATAGAACTTGATTCCCTCGCTGGCCCCGGGTAGGGTGACGCCACGGATCAGGAGGATGATCAGCATCACGTACGGGAAGGTGGCCGTCACGTAAACGACCTTCCCCGGGAGACAAAATCAAAATGCTGGTGTCCGTCATGAAATAGCGATGTTGGATTGCTGCCTAATTGAGTGTTCACCTGTCAATAGAAGCCTGCGTTCATCGAGTTTCATGATGCTACGGGTGATTGTAATTAAGAAAATGAACTGTGTAGATATTTTTTTTATATTCATATGGAAATAAGAATTAACTTTGTAGTGATAATTGATCATACAAAAGATATATACCAAATTATGCGAACGGATCCAAAATGACTCGTTAGAAATGATAATATACTCATAATTCTCAAAAAAAATTTCCACGAGATTATATATTCCCTGAAAGTATAAAGCCAGAATATATAAAGAGAACCATATGTTTACCCCTATGAATTCACAACATACCAAAGATGAGAAGAAACTAATTATGTTTTATTAATTGTAAAACTTCAATTTCAGGCCTGAGACAGGAGTTGACTTTTGACATAAATCACAGAATAAGTAAATTTTTGGATCAAAATATAACCAGAATTACAGCAGGAAAAAAATATTGCCAAATATCTGATCATTCTTTATCCAATGACTGTATTCTCTGAGAAAAAATATTTCACGTTTTACCCCCTGAATTTTCCAGAAACAGTTAGGGGTGCATCTTGCAATCTGGTAGGCGTGTGTGTGTGTGAGACCAAATTTGTAGAACTTTCTCAACACAGGGTACAAGTGTGAAGTGTGTCTAACTTGCCGGAGCATCTTATAACCCATAGAATAGGTTATACGTTAACATATTTTCCTTTCAACAATCTGCTTTTCATAGGACGTTCATGCTACACATTTAACCGCTGTGGAGGAGCGCTTCTGCCGTAAATGCTGACCTATCATACGTGAGTTTTGGTAATTCGTGCCTAACGCCTGACGCTGTACACTGCGTGTAACTCTGGGTAGGCTGCATGGATATTCATACAATTTCTAATATTTTTTTTCATAAAAGGCTTATTTAAATTGTTACTAATTATTAGTTAGTTACAAGAATAATCGTTTTCTCCAAAAATATATCAGTGCCGGTTTTGGGAAAAGCCAAGTTGTTTTTTTTGTATTTTTATCTTTTCGTTCCGCATACCGTTGTACATAAATAAATCCTCAACTCTTTATTTTCATAGCGCTCTTTCGTGCAAAAGATGCAATTCAAAGTGCTGCACAGGTCAAAGAAAACGTTGTGAAAAGACGCAAGAACAATTAAAGCTATTTCCAGACAAAACAAAATCGCATTATGATAAATCGATAGCAAAGGCATATATATATTAAAAAAATAACACTATACAATAATCTTAGGTAAAAGCTAAGTAAAAAAAGGTTTTTAGATTTAATTTAAAATTGCTTAACGATTGGGAAGCCCTCAGATTCCCCGGCAGGTTGTTCCACAGGCAAGGCCCACGCACACCAAAGTCTCCGGTTCTGTGAGTTGTTGTCCAGGAGCTTGGGACGACTAAAAGACCGGACCCAGAGGATCTGAGGGATCTTGTTGGCTCATATCTTAAAACACATGTATGCTGGTGCCAAACCATTCAACGATTTAAAGGCCAATGAAAATAATTCTAAAATTAATTCTATGACTGACTGGCAGCCAGTGTCTCGGGTGTGGACCAATCAAATTCAAGGACAGTGCCAATATTATTATCAGAGTTGTCTCTTTTGTTTGCATTTTGACTGCTTGTGTTGTGGTTATTGCAAACATGATGCCTTGAATAAATGTGTCAGTTTTGTGCGGGTTAATTATTATTACTATAATGTATACATAGTTTTGTTGATCTGTGCTTAATGCCTGACACTATATGCTGTGTGTAACGCTGGGTAGGCTACGTGGATTTCCATGCAATTGTGAATATATTTTTTTGCTTTTCATGAAAGGCAATTTAAACCCAATGTCACACTTAGAGAAATTTCTGTTTAAGTAAATTCAATACAATCTTAAAATTTTAGTCTATTTAATTGGATTAAATGTTTATCAACCCGTCATATGGCGGGCAATTACACTAGTTATATATATATTTATATTCCGTTACAAGGCAGTGCTAGGCAATAACAATGCAATGAACAGCCATTTGTCAATTCACCACTGGATGAAATCTTCCCAAAACCAGGTCAGTTATGCGGTTTGTTTGACAAAATTTCACCACACTGGTCAGTGTAAATTGGTGATCTGGGGTTCAGATATCACTCACCACTCATGACAGCCATGTATGCATGTATGTTGAACTTCTTTTGCACCGTATGTAGCGAACTGCCAATTGAAGGTGCGCGGGGAAGGGAAGGACCAGGAATCCAACTTTCGTTGCTGGGTTTGTATCGCATTGCGATGACACACAGCGACACTTCTCCAGACCAGCACTCACGACCATGGTGGCGGTGATAAACCATCGGCGTGTACATGAACGTCAATGCAGTGCCTGGAGTTTAATTTGAGTCAAGGGTTGAATTTAAGCCGGGTCTGCCTGGGCGAGCGACCCTGAACATATTTCTTCCCCAAGGTTCACCGCATCCAGTTTATCTCTTGCTCGGACTATGGATACTAATCACGTGCCACCTCTCTTCTAGAGTTACATACCTGTCCTGGTATCTCCCAGGATTTTCCTGTGTTTGAGGAATCTGTCCTGGGAAACCTGTCTATCTGGGACGTTAAAAGTCCCGTTTTTTTAACACTACACCGAGTTTTTGTCAATAGTACACCCACTCAGGACCAGGAATTTACACGTAATCCTCCCCTCTTCTGATATCGTGAGGTCTTCTTCTCATCATATACCCTGGTTATTTTGTTCCATCACAGGTGGCAAACCCACTCCAGTCTACCAGTGACCCAGACAATATTGAGTGAGAAATGCATCCCTGCTTGAAGGCAAGCAGCGACATCACTTCCTTTGTGCAGTGTGTGGGCACTGCCTGCGAGCGATGGTTTTTGACCCCTAACTGGCGAAGTAGGGACAACTTATTGCGCGGTCGCGCCGATGAGCGGCATTGCGTTTTTACTTTTCCGGTCGACTTGGTTCCCTTCCAGATGCAGAAGTAGCAGACGATCCACGCCGCCAGGAGGCAGAGGGCCAGTTCCCAGCGAAGGTTTCCGATGTTGTCAATGCCATTGGAGATGCCCAGCACTCTCCGCCTGCAGCCGCGGGACAGAACACACACGCAGGCGCGAACGTCCCACGCCTGCCCGTCTGCCCCTTCTTTGTACCCCGCCGTCGCCCTCGCAACGCGTAAGCGACTCGGCGTTAATTTTATTTGGGGAGGCGTAGTGCCGGTGTTTTTAACTCCCCGCAAAGAACTGTAAGCGACTCGACCACACTCTACAATAGCTGGCGGCAAACTACTGCCATATGCCCTCCCGCATGGCCTTGAGGGAGCCTCGGCACCGATAAAGTTACTTTCTTATTTCTTCCGGTCCGATTCCGATGATGTACACATACGTCATCAGAATGGAATCCGAAGAAAAACCCATGATGTACACGTACGTCATTGGAATGGGAAGGGTTAACAAGAAAAGGGGGGGGGGTGTTATCACCACCACGATGGATGAGCACAGGCCCAAATACACGAAAGGCCGATTGTCCGACAATCAAACAGCGCCATTGAAGGTGCAAGAGAATACAAATGAATGCGGTTTCTAGAATTTTTGTCAAGATTGGAAAAAACTTGGGGGGTGGGGGGGGGGAAGAGAGAGACGACGGGAGGGAATTCCAAATCCGAACAGCGCGAAGCAAGAAGCAGAAAGCGACACAGACATACAGAGACGGTAATTTGCTTAAGTGTTCTATTAAGAAACCCGCACGCTTTGTCGAATATTTCGAGTGGCGTGGTGCTGAAAAGGAGCGTTTGGCATCGCTGTTCGGCCAAGTTGATGGCGTGAGTTCATTTTCATGCTTCACACGCTGAGCAGCTGAACCTTGTGCAGGTTGTCATGGCTCGTGCTGGATAGCCACACAAATGCCAAGAGCTCCCTAAAGCAAAGTCAAGGAATAAATGACCCTAAATGTGTCCAATGTCGTCAGATTATCAAAAATACTAAGCAGGTTCGAGGGTGGTTTGTATTCGGATTGAATAATCTCTGGGAACACTCGGTGCTGTAGAGCTGTGATGAAGCCAGGAAACGGCAGTACGGCAATATGTTCTTCAATCTATCTGTATGGAGTTTTGCGTGCTATTTATTGGTATGCACGAGCTTTCATCCGTGTTCTCTGATTTCCTTAGTGGGTCTTGCCTGCGTAGAAAAAAAAATAAAATTACTATTATGCAAGATGATACGGAAAAAAATGAAAATTCTGGATGACTCGGTCATAATCGTAGGCATACACTACTCATGTAGAGTGCACCACTTACATGCACGATAACTGTAGTGCTGGCAGTATAGCACAAACCCTGGATTAAATCTCGCACGTTCCATTTGAAGTGTACACGTGAAGGGTGGCAGATGTGAGACGGGGGTGACGTTGAAGAGAGGGTGGGGGGTACGCAGCAGTTGGATTTCGTAGCTCCAGGTAGAAGAGGCCTCAGGTTTTCTAGCCTCAGGTGGTAACACGTACAGGTGGATTAATTGAGAAGCTGTAATACACTGGCGCGTGGCTTCTCGCATAGAGACCCCCGTAGACTTACAAAAAGACCCATGGACTTACACAAAGACCCATGCGCGCATAGGAATCCATAGACTCACATAGAACCCGTACGCTTACATCGACCCACATGCTCATACACTCACGTGGAGACAAAGAGACTCACATGCAGATCCATAGACTCAGAGACCCATAGATGGACACAGAGGCACATGGATTCAGAGACCCATATATTTACACGCAGATCCATAGAATCATACAGAGACCCATATACTCATAACGGGGACCCATACACTCACACGGAGACCCAAAGATTCACTGAGCCCGACAGACTTACATATCGATATATAGATTCCCACATCAATCCATAAACTGGAACGTTCACATAGAAATCCATACATTTAAGTATAGTAGCGACCTATAAACTCGCATAGAGACCCATATATTCCCATAGAGCCCCAACAACTTACATATAGATCTATAGATTTCCACAGAAAGGCATAAAGTGTACTGCTCACATGGAAACCCATAGATTTACGTATAGTAGGGCCCGATATAGACTCACACAGAGACCCAAAGACGGGAATGCCACTGGCAGTGGCTTCATCGCCGGCGCTTTCACCAGCAGACTGGCGCCCGGTCTGGTGTGAGCCCAACACTGGTTCAGCATCACCACCACCATCATCACCACCACCACCACCTCTCGTTTTGCCTCTGTGTTCCACTGATCAATGAGTCGACCGGCACGCGTCATCACCTGAGACAGCAAAAACCCGAGGCGGATATTGTTGCCTTCTCAACCTGGAGGCACGAGCTGACATTGGTGGGGAGGATGTGGGTAGGAGATGGTGGGGAGGATGTGGGTGGGAGATGGTGGGGAGGATGTGGGTGGGAGATGGTGGGGAGGATGTGGGTGGGAGATGGTGGGGAGGATGTGGGTAGGAGATGGTGGGGAGGATCTGGGTGGGAGATAGTGGGGAGGTGGAGATGGGGGGGGGAGGGGAGTTGGGGGGGGGGGACATGCCTAAGCGAGTATGAAGAGGGGGGGAGGGCATGCAGATATCAATCACAAGAGCGCGAATTTTCCTCAAACTCACAGTTGAATAACACATCATCCAGCCAATGCATGTGTACACTTGGCTGAAGTGTGGTTGACAGTAACGTGTAACTTTTTCCCAAATGTAATGAAATGAAAGCTAGCTACGGTAATGTAGACCACGGGCTGGTATATGTACGTGTATTTTCATGCGGTGGTTAATATTGTTTTTTTTATGCTGAACTTTGCTCCGTACTCGCATGGCAATGAGGAAATCAAACTGTCCTTTTGGCAAACGGTCATGTTGTCCTCATTCCTGAGCTGAAAACATCACGTAACACGATGTGTTGCACACCCACCCCCTCGTGTGCCGTGCCGGCCTTCATAAGTCCTCGCGAACAGCACTTGCCCCAATAGTCCGTTAAAGACTTATGGGGGATTTTTTTGTCTTTTTAGTTTTACAGGCCGACTTCAAACTGCCATTTGATTATAATTCTCTACCTAATATTAGACGTACATTTCTGGACAGCCTGTATACCAGTACAGTGCATCAGCTGGACAAATCCGTTGAATATATAAATATTGGCAGGAGCATTGTGTAATCGTGTATAACGGAACACCGCAATGTTGGACTTTGACATCAAACTCGTGTTCTGAAAGGAAAGACTGCGATTATATCGTTTTTATTTTTACTGCTGGCGAGTTGTTATCTGCATCGCCTGATATACAGGAGGTCATGGGTTCGATCCCGACCCTGACGCCTGTATTTTTGGAGATTGCATGCACGTTCTTCCTGTGGTCGCGTGGATTTTTCTCCGGGTCCTCCAGTTTTTCCCTCCACATTTAGAATCAACGTGCACTTAGAATATTTGGCTGCTATAACATTTCCACATGATGATGAGCCACTTTGTTGAGCTATCATTTGTGGCCAGGTTGCCTCCGAAAAACACCTAATAGCTCAGTCGGACCTTACCTGTCAAAATAAAAATACAAATCTATCTTTAAACAGTCTGGTTACTTTTAAGCAAACAAAAGAAAATGCGAGTTCCGAAAATTGTGAGCTCCACGCTACTCACTCCCAGTACTCGATGACTGGTGATGTCCCTTCCCTGGCCACGCGGACCGCCGTGATGTTCTCCGTGTGATGAAATTCCACGCAGCTGTCTGGAGACACAAAGAGGACGACGGAAGACAGCTGTGGGCGATCGCAGAAAGCGCACTTCGAACAAAAGCAGCTTCGCACGCACAGCACCACAGTGTTGTTACGGGGGTCACCTCGTTCCTTTTATTCACTTTTTAACGCTTTCCAAAACTACAGTTGGAAAACGCTAATGCATTGGCTCTGTCCGTATGTCTGTAACGCGGAGGGGGGGGGGGGGTGGTGAATTTTCGCCTAGAGCTATGCAGCTCTTCGGAACTTCCCCTTCAGAAAAGCGGCAACATTGATTGGATGGGTTAGCCGGGGCTTCCCCGGCCGAGCCGTGTTCTGAGCCTCATTGTTTCATCAGGGACGGCCCCCGGGGTGCGTGCTGCTTCCTGCGCATCTGGCGCCAGCGCCGCCGTTATTATCATTCACGAAATACTTCCGATGACGAACACGTGTGGGAGAGGATTTCGGAATCCATGCGTATGCGTGATTTTTGTTCCTTCCACCCTGTTGGATTAGGACCGGCTTCGGACAGTGCCAGAGCTGTCACAAAGGTGCCATTCCAGCCCCTACAAGACCACCGTCGGCCGAGCTATACAGCAAAACTGACGACATACCCTGTCATAAAAAATACAACAGCAAAAAAAATGTCTAAGTAGCGGTGGCCAGATGGCTCAGAGGGGGTAAATACCACGTCGGAGGACTGAACCAGCAGTACTTTGGTGCTGGCTTTGAATCCCTTGTGGACACCCATGAATTGAACCGGGTTCTCAAGTGAAGTGTTGACCAGCCTTCGATTCAAAGCTCGTGACCCATGAATGCCAAAGCTTAGGCCAATGCCCGAAATTCTTTAGGCTGAGTACAGTGTCAGAATCATAATATTTATTTATACTGGAGGAATCCGATGAACTTTAAAGCTCTTTTCACAGACGTCCAGTGTCCAAGGCTGCTCTGCTTCCAAGCTGAGTCCTCAGACCAGGCCACCACCACTCAAGGCAAAGGACGAGAATTAAAAAAATGTCCTCGACCCGGCCTTTTGGCCCAGAACTGGTTTAACTTAATTCACTTCATTTGCAATATTTCCAGCCCTCCGTACTAGATTTTTTTAAAATTGAATTGCCATGCAACACACTTCTACATAGTACATGAAGTTGGACGGCGCAGCACCCTTATTGTGGACAAGGTGCAACTGAAGAGACCTCAGAAAGTTCTGTTATGTCAGCTTCCTGAGGCTATTCTATCACATGACAATATGTGGTGCTTTTGGCAAGAGTTCAGAATGGAATTGTTTTTTTGTCTCACAACATCATGCCGACTGCACAACCGAATATAACTGGGACAGACAATAAAGTGTTTTTTTTTTACAAAAGAAAAATCCCAATGGTTCCCGGCTCAAATGGGCATGCGGCTGTCCATTTAAAAAAAAAATCAACTTGTAATCTTAATAGGCCTCCATTATTATTATCATCAGCAGCTATGATCTATCTACTTCTGCACGAAGGCTGTGATGCAAAAATACATCTAGTTCCTACACACAAGCTGAAAACCATCGCGTTATCTCAAGAGTAGACGTCCTCATCGGCGCGTTCCCTCTTTGCCTTCCACTCCGTCGCAAGTCTCCACCATCAGCCATAATCTCCTAGCGTCATGTTGTTGTCAAGCCAACTTACTCTCCCTGACTTCAATCAATCAATTCTATCTACAGCATTGAGTCAGTGGTTGAAATTAAACATTCTTATGGCTTGGGAATTTTCTGTTCACTTCCCAAAGTAGTATTAATTTTAGCAACCCCAAAGGTACTAATGTGACACCGAATGAGATTTGAATTATCAGACCTTGTAATTGTGAGCCATTCACTTTAAAACTCAACTAAACTATCTTTATTTTACCAGGTAAGGCCCATTTGTCACATAGCTCTTTTCCGAAGTGACCTGGCCACAAATGATAGCCCAACGACGTGGCTAATCATGTAGAAAATTATAGCAACTAAAAACTCTAAACCCATGTTGACTCTAAATGTGGAGGGAAAACCCGGAGGACCCAGAGAAAAATCCACGCGACCACAGGGAGAACATGCAGACTCAAATTATACAGATGTCAGGGTTGGGATCGAGCTGAAGACCTCCTGTATACCAAGGGAGGTAGTTAACATCTCACCACCATGGCCGTTGATTAGGAAATGTTTCCCACAATAATTATATTGTGATAAACCTTATAACCCTAACAGCATAGTGGTTTAAAGCCTGCATCGTGATCCCAGGACCTGAGTTCAATTCCTGACCACAACTCAAGTCAGAGGTGAGCGATATTTCAACCAGGCCTTACCCACCCCTGCACTAACCACTGCACCAACCCACACTGACCAGCCGGCTAAAGTATGGTCAAACGACACCAGAGACTGACACGGAATGGGGAGGCCTTCATCCAGCAGTGGATTGACAAAAAGGACTGTTAATCATCGTCATCGATTACATTGGTTTATGACATTTAAATTGAAAAAAGTCGAGGCAAATGTGGCAAACATTAACGACAATTCTTTTATCCTGATTGCGCGTTAAAACCTCGGGACAACATTCACTTGGCTCATTCTTTGAATGCATTTTCAACAACAACAAAAAATCTACTCAGCCTACGACAATGAAAAATAAAAAAAAAATTTGAACAAATAATTGGAAAGTGATTGTTAACACATTTCATGCGCAGCGCTGTGCAGGGTGATGACACTATTATGTGTCCAGGTACATTTGTTATCGTAATTATATTCCAACACCCCTAATTAGTGCTCTTGAAAGCCTTGTGAAGTAGATTGGTGGGTGTGCGTACGAGTGTGCATACCAATAGCCACTGGTACTGGCAAGACCTAAAATCTAGACTGGCGCTCTGCAAACCACTGGACCGGAGTGGTGATTGGAGGAGCTGTGCCACCGTCACTGTGTAGACTATGACGCGTGGTGAGGCATGGGTCCGGATTGTGGATTCACTGCTTCGTACTCCTTTGCTTATATACAACTTGTGCCCTGGGCGCTTATTAAGAGAGAGACACACACACAAGCCGAACACAGCGGCTTCTTTGCAAGACCCCCCACTCGGCTCGGTTATTCAACATGTCCACTGCTGACCCCCCCCCCCCGCCCCCCGCCCATACTGGACATCTGTGAAAAAGAGCTTCAGAGCTCATCGGATTGATTCAGTCTGAATACAGATTCTGATTCCATGGGCTCAGGCCATATATATATCACTTGACGGCACCACCCGAGGTGATAATAAATTGAAACGAGTGGTGTTATTCAGTAATTCACATTCATTCGCTGTATACATAAATGGGTACTTCTAAAAAGGAGTGTTACATTAGGTGGTACCAATTTATGCTCTGGCTCATGCACGAAACAACTGTATTTCGAGACAGAACACAGCTCTAGTTGATGAGCATCAGCCTCCTGGTCTTCATTTCGTGGTGGGATTGGGCTGCGACGTGGCCAGGAGATGGTGGAATAGGAATGGATCCTTGAATATATCTGTATGGAGCTCTTGATTGTAATTCTCTCATGTGAGTGGGGTTTTCACTGGGTACCCCGATTTTCTGCCTGCTTGCCAAATGCTCATCAATGGAATTGGATAAACGTTACAATGTTAGCAGGGCCACCTTGGACACGAGTCCTATCACATTGTGAGGCTTTCCTGGGTGAAATATATATTAAAAAAACCGTGATTATTATCATTATTGTGAATTCCAATCTCGCCGTTCACTCAACCAAAATCCCTCTGGGGTTCATAAAATTAGCCTTGCCTAAGCGAGGCTCTAAATGCAAGCGCTTCATTATGCCCGAAGAACAATCGCTGCCATACAATGCTGGCGGAGTTAGCGCCGCCGAATCACGAGCCCCGACGGCGAACCGGCTGGAGAACGTGACGGCTAACAGAGGCTCGCGTTGCCAAGTCGCGGGGGCCAGTGCCAAATCCATCCCTGTTACCAAATTACGGCGAGCAGCGGGGCGCCCATCACGAGCGCCTCGCGGCGCGCACTGGCGCGCTGACCCCTCCACGCCGTGGCGGCGTGGAGGGGTCAACGCGCACTGGCGCGTTGACCCCTCCACGCCGTGGCGGTTCAGTCGGACCGAATCGTTGGTACGTTTGCGGCCCTGTTGTCAAATTTTTTTTTTTTTATTCTCTCGCACGTGTCGTGACGTGTCCTGTAAGATCTGATCGTGGTCCGTCCAGTGCTCGCCGAGCTGCACTGGCTTCCGGTTGCCGAACGAAGACGTTATCGAAAGGTCGCGCTCATTACACGCGCACAAAGTGCTTGCCACATATGAAGCACAATACCTTGTCAAGGAGCATAAAATATCATCACGTGAACTTCGGTCATCCTCACAGCAGCAGTTTTTGGCTGGCCACTGAACAAGGATGGTCACCGCATCGCGCGCTTTCACATGCACTTCTGCGGCCGTCTGGACCGCTCTTCCTTCCGATATTAAGAAGCCACTTGAGCTATGCCACTTTTAAATCTAGATTGAAAACTCATTTCTTTAGAACTGCTTTTTGTGTCTAGTTTGTTGTCCTTCCCCTGCACCTCCGATTAGCACGGTTGGCTACACACATTGCGAAATAAGCTCAACATACACACATGCGTTCGTTCTTACAGCGCAACGCGATCATGACCGCGCTGTGTTTCACAGGCGAGTGTAGTCTGCAGGGGTTTCACACTTGGGAGAGCGATATTGCTGCGCGGTTTCATAGTTGCACCCGATTCGGTAAACTGCGGTGAATTTTCAAACGTGGACAATTAGGACCACGACTTCGGCACACAAGGCCGTAATCTTTTTCGAAAAATCTCTCAGGATCTTTAACATACAGACGTACGTCCACTGTGAAGCAAAAGGTGAGCATATTCCCCACGACCCCCCCCCCCCCGCATTAACCAGGGCTGCCGCTGGGCTCGAACCTACGAACTTCCGCAACGAGCGGCAAAATGAGCGACCGATTGGGGGGGGCGGTAATGAAACCTGGAATGGCGACCGACGATCACAAAGCTCTCGCTTGTCGGAAGCGCTTTCTCTTTTCACTGCCCGAGATTTTGGCACTTACGGTGCATCGCGCGTTGATGCATAAGATCGCTCGGCCTGGATTCCTTTTTTGTTTAAACATTCATTGGCTTAAAAAATAATAAGTGGAGCATGGCAATGTCTGAGAAGCGGCTGCTTCTTGTGATGATCAGCCGTGTTACTGTGCAGCCAACAGAACGCTTTCATGTCATCTTTGATATTAGATACAGTTAGCAATGGTACCGTTATTACATACGAGAACGTATTATTTCTGCTCCTTACATCACTTACGTGCTGAGCCTTACATCACCAAAATCGCAATAAATACACCCGATCTTATTAACAATGGGAAGCGAAGCAGGTTTGAGCCTAGTTAGTACTACGATGGGACACTGCCTGGGAATACCTGGTGGTCTCACCAGGAGATGGCAGTATGTCAAAGGATCCTTGTGTCTATCAGTATGGAGTATTAGACGTTGTCCCCTTGTATGTGGGGCTCCCTACCATACATGAAGCCAAACACTCGTTAATGGAACTGACCAAACATCGCAACGTAGCGCGACCCTCCTACTTTGCTCTGTAAATAAAGAACTTCTACGACTGGAAAGAATGCTCATAATATTCACTGGTAACTCCTGTTTCAATAGTCGTAACATTCAGCCTTGAAAGATATTGACAATGTAAATTGGGACCCGTTACGAAGCGGGTTACTCCATATAGCGTTGCCACGTGTCCTGATTTTCCAAAAATCGTCCCCTTGTTGTCGTCGCTGTCTTAATGAATCAGTGAGTCTTCCCAGGATGTCAAAAGTCCTATTCTCTGTCAGATGCATAATAATTCACCACTCAAGACAAGGCATTCACATGTAGTTCTCCTCTCGTCCAGTTTTGTGAGATATAGCCCTCTGCCAATGATAAATCCAAGGGTTTTTTTTTGGTACATCAGAGGTGGCAACCATAACTTCATCTGATAAGCACACAATCAATATTGAGCGTTGCATCGCGACCTACGCTCGGACTGAATCCGCACGCACGTGTTTGCTTTAGGATATTTCGCAAGCAACGCGCACCGCAAATGTTACGCGCATATACAAGCCCGTGCACATGCGGACATCATCAAGCCACGCAGCTGAGAGACAAACTCCCCCGACCCCCCTCAAGCAAGCAAGCACAGCCCTATCGATGTTAGATCGTGACAACAGCAAGCGAAACAAACCCGTTGTTAGCCAAGCTGCGATCAATCACGTGTCTCTCTCGAGCTTCCGCAGGCCAGCTTCTCGCTAATGTTTTTCGTTTGTTGTGTCACCCGTCGTGACAACGCGATTAATAAATATATTGCACTTCTGAAGTTATTGCTGCGAGCGGCGCACCACCTTGGGTCAAAGAAAGGGTCCGGGAAATTGACAACGTAAGCAGAACTACGTTTGGGATTCACACATGCCGAGGTCTCGTCTTCCACGCCAGATCTACATTTACATTTTCCACACGAGCTATAAACGCATTCTACGCTTTTCCGAAAGGGTTTGTTGCACGGTCGCAGAATAAAACAAATTACAACGAGAAGCCTCAGACTTGGAATTTGCCAATTAAACATAAAAAACAACACATTTAGCATTTTCTTTGGTTCTTTCGGTAAAGTCACGTAGATATAAAAATAAGTAATGAAGCGATAGAATAAAATAATTAAATAATAATAAAAATCACTAATGTAGACTGTAGCCTGGTTCTTAACCTGAGTGAGTGCACTGGCAGTCTATAATGTATACTGTAGCCTGGTTATTAAGTTTGGTGAGTGTACTGGCAGTCTATAATGTAGACTATCGTAATGGTTATTAAGCTGGGTGAGTGCACTGGCAGTCTATAATGTAGACTGTAGCCTGGTTTTTAAGCTGGTGAGCGTATTGGCAGTCTATAATGTAGACTGTAACCTGGTTCTTAACCTGAGTGAGCGTACTGGCAGTCTATAATGTAGACTGTAGCTTGGTTCTGAACCTGAGTGAGCATACTGGCAATCTATAATGTAGACTGTAGCCTGGTTATTAAGCTGGTGAGCATATTGTCAGTCTATAATGTAGACTGTAACCTGGTTCTTAACCTGAGTGAGCGTACTGGCAGTCTATAATGTAGACGTATTCTTGGTTCTTTCAGTAATATAAATATAACAAAATTTTAAATAAAATGTAATATTTAAATAAAAACAAAAACCACGACGTTTCGATTGCAACACAAGCGGTCGTGATCAGGAAAAGGGGGGTTAGCCTTTAAAGGCAAACTGCTTATGAAGGTTTAGAAATGGGCGGAGCCAAAGTGCGTCAGCAGCATGGGCGGGGCAGCTAATGTTAATGTAGGAGAAAGCAGTGCCAACGCAGTGGGTCTACACCAATCAAAAGGGCCGCCAGGCAATCATTTGCACCTCGCTCCACATACCCACACTGCTGACGGTGGAGGTTGACAAGAAAACACAAATCAAGTCATGACCCAAAGTGGTTGATGACATCTTTCCAATGATTGCTGGGTTTATAACCATCCTCTCGGTTGAAATTGTGTCTGTGTATATGTATGGCTTCATGAACAAATCTTTGTTAATAGCCAGTAGGCTTGCAAAGTACCATCGTCTTAGAGAAATACATTTCGTGTGAACCAGCCACATTAAAATAATGATCAGCCATGGCAGAAGTATTGATCCTACCGTGTTTCAAATCTGCCTAATGCTCACGAACACGGTCCGAGACATGTTGCTTAGTTTCCCCAATGTTACTGCTGCCACAGATACAGATTCAATTTTGATTTAAAGCTTTCGTGACTGCAGGGATTCATATTCTTGGTTCTTTCGGTTTCCCTTCTACGTGACTTTACCGAAAGAACCAAGAATAAGATACAGATTAGTTCGTAGACGCCGGGATATTGCATGTCAGGAATCTTGTCCTTCACAGATGGGATCAGATCAAGCATTTTATGTACTGTGTTAAATCGGACCTGGATTTGTGTTTGTTCATGATTTTGGAAATATTTTTGGTTTCCCCTGCTATGGCAAGGTGATGGTTTTGATTGGATCCTCTGATGGCTCTTTCCTCATGGTTGGGGTGATGGCTTTGTGGATTGTGTAGTCAGAATATCCATTCGCCTTGAGAGCTTGGTGTACGTGTTTGAGTTCACTGCTTAGCTGTTCATGGTCGGAGATACATTGAGCTCTATGGTGTAGCGTTTTGATGAGGACATTCTTCTGGGATGGATGGTGGTGGAAATCAGGTTTTAGGTAGGTGTCAGTATGGGTTACTTTCTTGTAGACATAATGGCTCATTGAGCCATCTGGTCTCTTTTTGATTAAGACATCCAAGAAAGGTAGCATGCCATCCTTTTCTACCTCGATGGTGAATTTGATGGCTGGGTGTATGGAATTGCTGTGGTGGAGGAATTGGTCCAGAGCCGGTCGGCCATGTGGCCAGATGACAAACGTGTCATCCACGTACCTCTTCCACAAGGACGGGCGTAGAGTGGATGCCTGGATGGTGTCCATCTCAAAATTTTCCATGGAAATATTGGCTACAACCGGATATAAGGGAGAGCCCATTGGGATGCCTTCAGTTTGTTTGTAGAATTTTCAATTCCAGGTGAAGTATGTATTGGTGAGGCAGTGTCTCACCAGGGCCGGTACATCAGCATTCAATCCTTGTTGGACCAAATCTTCAATGATTGCAATGGCATCGGGCACAGGAACTTTGGTGATTTATCATTTAGCATTGATAGTGATTTTATTGTGTAGCCATTGATACCATCAACTCACGACACGTTTTAATCCCCACGTGGCTGAAATCTGGATTCAAACCCAGGTACTCAGCATTGCCAGCACAGTGCTCTCTGTATTAGCCTCATGAGCCAACTGGCCACCTCTACTCCAGCTAGGCTTGCCACCTGTCCTGCTTATCCTATGATTGGACCTCTGAGGTGAATGTCTGTAACAAAAAAAATCGTATTTAGGTCTTCCCTTCTGCTTTTGTGAGATATTCTTCTGCGTTTGTACCCGTGACATGTCCTCAGACATTTGTTGTCGTTGCACCTCATAGAGGTGGCAGGCAGCCCCAACATCTCTAAAATCACCGCGAGATTCTGCATTCACGAGCCACCCACTCGGCAGAAGCACGGTGCAGGGGGGTAGGGGGTGTGGGGGCGATCGTTACTTGTGTTCCAATGGTTGTTGCACGAAGCCCAGGGCAGGTCGGCCGTGAAGCAGTTGCAGAAGTAGAAGATGGCCCAGGCCAGGATGACGACGTAGAAGACGTTCAGGTAGGTCACGATGACCTGCGTGCCGTAGCCCAGGCCTGCCAGCGCACACATGCAAAGAGCATCACTCACTCACACCCACCCGCCGATGTAACGTGTAATTGAATGTTAAAATGTAATTCACCAGCGTCAACAGTTACGACAACAATCTAATTATCCCGCTCACCCCCTCTCCCGCTCCCCTAACACTCACGTCTCATCTCACTCAACGACAACGTATCATAACCACGATACCACTTCGATCTCCGTTTCTTGTCCTTCACGCCCCCTGTGGAACTCATCATTTGAAACCTCGAAAATGTACCCCCCTTCCACCGTGGATATCTCGAGAGACCCCCACTGGGCTGTCTTCATCCTTAAGGTCATCTTAAACAAATCTCTAAATTACCTAAAGGACCACTCGGTTCATCTCACTCCCTCCCAAAGCATCACAAGTGTCTCCTTATTCCTCCTAAAAAAACATTTGCCTAAAATGTGTTTGGTAAAAAAAAGTATTTCCACATTGCTCATAAAATATATTTGGCCGTTTATCTACAACTTGGTTCCCTCCCTTCAACCCATCTCATTATTCCCCTATTAAAAACAAAACACAGAGCGTACTTACTTCCTTGCCCCTGAACCTAACTTATTTCTGGCGCTCCTTGTTCTCAAATTATAATTGGCACAGTTTGTTTTATATTACCGTGTGCTTCGTTGACAAACCGTTGAATACCACGTTTGTTAGTTGTGCAAATATGACTGAAGGGTAATGAGGCTTTTGCCTTTGTGTTTATTCATGCTGCTGCCATGCTCATGGGCCACAGACCTCCCTTGTAAAATAGCCGGGCAACTGGATGAACTGGACTGTCCGTGAAACAATAAAATAAATGTAAATCTCAAGCTATCCCTGACATACACTCTCCCTCATCTCACTCCACTTTCCCTCATGCACTCTCCCATTCCCCCCTCCACCACTGTACCCGCTCCAACAGTACCCTCCACTCTATCATCTTCGATCTCCACTCTAGCATCTAAGATCTCCACTCTAGCATCTAAGATCTCCACTCTAGCATCTAAGATCTCCACTCTAGCATCTAAGATCTCCACTCTAGCATCTAAGATCTCCTCTCTAGCATCTAAGATCTCCTCTCTAGCATCTAAGATCTCCACTCTATCATCTTCGATCTCCACTCTAGTATCTACGATCTCCACTCTAGCATCTAAGATCTCCACTCTAGCATCTAAGATCTCCACTCTAGCATCTAAGATCTCCACTCTAGCATCTACGATCTCCACTCTAGCATCTAAGATCTCCACTCTAGCATCTAAGATCTCCACACTAGCATCTACGATCTCCACTCTAGCATATAAGGTCTCTACTCTAGCATGTAAGATCTCTACTCTAGCATCTAGTGTCTCCACTCTAGCATCTAAGATCTCCACTCTAGCATTTAAGATCTCAACTCTAGCATCTAAGATCTCCACACCTGCATCTAAGATCTCCACACTAGCATCTAAGATCTCCACTCTAGCATCTAAGATCTCCACTGTAGCATCTAAGATCTCCACTCTAGCATCTAAGATCTCCAATCCTGCATCTAAGAAATCCACTCTAGTATCTAAGATCTCCACTGTAGCATCTAAGATCTCCACTCTAGCATCTAACATCTACACTCTAGCATCTAAGATCTCCACTCCTGCATCTAAGATCTCCACTCTAGCATCTAAGTTCTCCACTCTAGCATGTAAGATCTTCAATCTAGCATCTAAGATCTCCACTCTAGCATCTAAGATCTCCACTTTAGCATCTAAGATCACTACTCAAGCATCTAAGATCTCCACTCAAGCATCTAAGATCTCCACTCCTGCATCTAAGATCTCCACTCTAGCATCTAAGATCTCCACTCTAGCATCTAAGTTCTCCACTCTAGCATCTAAGATCTTCAATCTAGCATCTAAAATTTCCACTCTAGCAGCTAAAATCTCCACTCTAGCATCTAAGATCTTCACTCTAGCATCTAAGATCTCTACTGTAGCATCTAAGATCTCTACTCTAGCATCTAAGATCTCCACTCTAGCATCAAAGATCTCTGCTTTAGCATCTAAGATATCAACTCTAGCATCTAAGATCTAAACTCCTGCATCTAAGATCTCCACACTAGCATCTAAGATCTCCACTCTAGCATCTAAGATCTCCACTCTAGCATCTAAGATCTCTACTCTAGCATCTAAGATCTCCACTATAGCATCTAAGGTCTCTACTCTAGCATGTAAGATATCTACTCTAGCATCTAAGATCTCCACTCTAGCATCTAAGATCTCCACTCTAGCATTTAAGATCTCAACTCTAGCATCTAAGATCTCCACTCTAGCATCTAAGATCTCCACTCTAGCATCTAACATCTACACTCTAGCATCTAAGATCTCCAGTCTAGCATCTAAGATCTCCACTCCTGCATCTAAGATCTCCACACTCGCATCTAAGATCTCCACTCTAGCATCTAAGTTCTCCACTCTAGCATCTAAGATCTTTAATCTAGCATCACAGATCTCCACTCTAGAATCTAAGATCTCCACTTTAGCATCTAAGATCTCTACTCTAGCATCTAACATCTCCACTCTAGCATCTAAGATCTCCACTTTAGCATCTAAGATTTCCACTCTAGTATCTAAGATCTCCACTATAGCATCTACGATCTTTACTCTAGCATCTCAAATCTCCACTCTAGCATCTAAGATCTCCACTCTAGCATCTAAGATCTCCACTCCTGCATCTAAGATCTCCACACTAGCATCTAAGATCTCCACTCTAGCATCTAAGATCTCCACTCTACTATCTAAGATCTCCACTCTAGCATCTAAGATCTCCACTCTAGCATCTAACATCTACACTCTAGCATCTAAGATCTCCAGTCTAGCATCTAAGATCTCCACTCCTGCATCTAAGATCTCCACTCTCGCATCTAAGATCTCCACTCTAGCATCTAAGTTCTCCACTCTAGCATCTAAGATCTTTAATCTAGCATCAAAGATCTCCACTCTAGAATCTAAGATCTCCACTTTAGCATCTAAGATCTCTACTCTAGCATCTAACATCTCCACTCTAGCATCTAAGATTTCCACTTTAGCATCTAAGATTTCCACTCTAGTATCTAAGATCTCCACTATAGCATCTAAGATCTTTACTCTAGCATCTCAAATCTCCACTCTAGCATCTAAGATCTCCACTCTAGCATCTAAGATCTCCACTCTAGCATATAAGATCTCCACTCTAGCATCTAAGATCTCCACTGTAGTATCTAAGATCTCCACTCTGGCATCTAAGATCTCCACTCTAGCATCTAAGATCTCCACTCCTGCATCAAAGATCTCAGCTCTAGCATATTAGATCTCCACTCCTGAATCTAAGATCTCCACACTAGCATCTAAGATCTCAAATCTAGCATCTAAGATCTCCACTCTAGCATCTAAGATCTCTACTCTAGCATCTAAGATCTCCACTCTAGCATCTAAGATCTCCACTCTAGCATCTAAGATCTCCACTCTAGTATCTAAGATCTCTACTCTAGCATATAAAATCTCCACTCTAGTATCTAAGATCTCTACTCTAGCATCGAAGATCGCCACTCTAGCATCTAAGATCTCAACTCTAGTATCTAAGATCTCCACTCTAGCATCTAAGATCTCCACTCTAGCATCTAAGATCTCCCCTCTAGCATCTAAGATCTCCACTCTAGCATCTAAGATCTCCACTCTAGCATCTAAGATCTCCACTCTAGTATCTAAGATCTCTACTCTAGCATCTAAGATCTCTACTCTAGCATCTAAGATCTCCACTTTAGTATCTAAGATCTCTACTCTAGCATCTAAGATCTCCACTCTAGCATCTAAGATCTCCACTTTAGCATCTAAGATCTCCACTCTAGAATCTAAGATCTCCACTCTAGAATCTAAGATCTTTACTCTAGCATCTAAGATCTCCACTCTAGTATCTAAGATCTCCACTCTAGTATCTAAGATCTCTACTCTAGTATCTAAGATCTCTACTCTAGCATCTAAGATCTCCACTCTAGTATCTAAGATCTCTACTCTAGCATCTAAGATCGCCACTCTAGCATCTAAGATCTCCACTCTAGCATCTAAGATCTCCCCTCTAGCATCTAAGATCTCCACTCTAGCATCTAAGATCTCCACTCTAGCATCTAAGATCTCCACTCTAGTATCTAAGATCTCTACTCTAGCATCTAAGATCTCTACTCTAGCATCTAAGATCTTCACTCTAGCATCTAAGATATTCACTCTAGCATCTATAATCTCAACTCTAGCATCTAAGATCTCCACTCCTGCATCTAAGATCTCCACTCTAGCATCTAAGATCTCCACTCTAGTATCTAAGATCTCTACTCTAGCATCTAAGATCGCCACTCTAGCATCTAAGATCTCCACTCTAGCATCTAAGATCTCCCCTCTAGCATCTAAGATCTCCACTCCTGCATCTAAGAACTCCACTCTAGTATCTAAGATCTCCACTCTAGCATCTAAGATATCCACTCTAGGATCTAAGATCTCCACTCTAGCATCTAAGATCTTCACTCTAGCATTTAAGATCTCCACTGTAGCATCTAAGTTCTCTACTCTAGTATCTAAGATCTCCACTCAAGCATCTAAGATCTCTACACTAGCATCTAAGATCTCCACTCTAGCATCGAAGATCTCCACTCTAGCATCTAAGATCTTCACTCTGGTATCTAAGATCTCCACTCTAGCATCTAAGATCTCCACTTTAGCATCTAAGATCTCTACTCTAGCATCTAAGATCTCCACTCAAGTATCTAAGATCTCCACTCTAGCATCTAATATCTCCACTCTAGTATCTAAGATCTCTACTCTAGCATCTAAGATCTCTACTCTAGCATCTAATATCTTCACTCTAGCATCTAAGATCTTCACTCTAGCATCTATGATCTCAACTCTAGCATCTAAGATCTCCACTCCTGCATTTAAGATCTTCACCCTAGCATCTAAGATCTCCACTCTAGCATCTAAGATCTCCACTCTA